TGGATTTCTGTAATGGTCTAGACTTTTTCAAAGAGAAGTTTTCTTGATGAGGGGCAAGAATTACACTTATCTGTTTGTATAAGGACAAATATAAAACCTTAATCTTAATTTACATGGGAAGGGACTGAGGCAGGGAAGTGTGATCATATGGTTAGGGTAAAAGCAGATCTAGATTCACTCTGTAATAATTTTTTTTTCATATATAGCAGCTAATCAACTCAACTACGTCACAGGGGAATGCAAACCAGAAACAAACCATGGTTTGGGGCCCCAGCAAATTTTGTTCAGGTCCCACTCTTGAGCATCTTTCCTGCTTGATGGAGCCCAGTAGTTGACAGTTGGCCATTGGAGGTGGGTTCCTCCAATGCAGAGAGCTGTGTTCAGGAAACCAACTATAGGCATTCTCCAGAAACCTTAAAATTTTCTATAGTGGAGAGTTAACATGAACACTATGTGACTAAAAAGATTTGTTCAGGTAAAAGATGCAAAACATTCCCAGATAGCTTGTAGGAGTGAGAATGGATGTAGCTACATGTTTCCTATTGTCATTTTCTGGGTCCCATCTCCTCACACACAATGGAGCTGATCAGTTGACCTCACTAAATTGAGTTATATATGCTTGGCATCATTCCTTTTAAAATATAAGTATATTTATTAATTCTTTGAGAATTTCATACCATATTTTGATTTTATTTACCCCAAGCCCTCACCTAACTTCCCCTCAGGCCCACCTTCTCCTTACTCTTCCAAACTTCTGCTCTCTTCTTTTTAACATTTAATAGCCCATCGACTGCAATTTCCTTTTTTCTTTAGTGTTGAGCTTCTTTTGTGGAGAAATTGATTCCTCTTGCCAAGAGAAGTGGAGACACAGGTTTGCCCAAATCTACCTCAGTCCTCACCTCTTGTTCTGTCACTTTGACCTCAAGAGGTTACAGCAGAGATCTTCAGTTAAGAGACATAGCTTCTGGAAAGTTCTCTGAACAGTTAAATACAGGTTACTATGAATTGTCTGAAATTTGTCAGCAGGTAAAAAAAATTATCAGCTTGTTGGAAAAAATGGATGTAATTGGCAAAGCTAGAGTAAGAAAATTTTACTCCTGAGCCATAGAAGATAACAACAGAGACATCTCCTAGCTTGTGGTCTTTTACCATAATTGTCGTTTGTGGAGGGTGTGTTCCTCACCTCTCATTAGCACTCTCACCACATTAAAGAAATGTTTCTCCTTCTGCCCAGTGCCCTTGTTTACGGTAGAGAATCATAGGTTAGGGTTGGAGGGTCATAGCTACAGAGGTAGGAGGAAAGAGCAGATAATTTAGAAAACAACTCCAAGGTAAAAGAGACAGAAGAAGACACAGAGACTCTTCGTGGTGGAGGTGATGCCAAGTTAGAACTTTACTGGGGGAAGTGCTTTTAACAACATCCCTAGAGGAGAATGCAGAAGGGCAGTTTTTGAAAATATTACTAATGCTTATTAATCAGAGCTCTTTAGATGTTCTTTAATATAAAGATATAAAGAAATAAATATTGAGTAATTCATACTGAGTCACTGTTGGCTTGTGTAATATGTTTTCTAAATTAAAATTTCTAGCTAGCATACCAACAGACTGCCCTGCCCTGCCTCTTACCTGTCCTTCTCCCTCCTGGAGTCCCTTTTCTATTCACAAACGGCCTCTTTTTACTTTCTTGTCACATACATATGTTTCAAACTCTAGAATTTGGGGGTCAAACTTGATGGATGACAGGAGCCAGCAGAAACAAATGATCTATACATACCCTATGAGAGTCAAATCAGCAGCTTGGTTTGGAGAGGCTGAGTTCTGTGGAAGGGAGCTTATATATGCCAATCCTGTGGTTTTGACACCATGTGAATGAAGAAAAGAAATAAACACAGAGGACATGGCTGCTCCTAGGTATGCTGGAGGAGAAAGTTTATTGTGGATAAAAGGGAGAGCATAGCCAGAGGCAGGAACATCTGGGAGCATCCAGAGTGAACACAAACCCGAGTTGGGCCATGTGAGGAGAGGGATGAGGGGAGAGTGGAGAGCCAGACCAAGAGGCCATGAGTGCGAAAGATAGATTAAAAAGGGGGCAGGTAACCAAAGTGGCTGAATTAATTATATAGGGAAGGAGAGCCCAGTCCCTGGGCTGGAGAAGTTTAGGGTAGGGAGTGGGGTATCTCAGCCAGGAGGGCCCTGTAACAGGTAGGGACCCTGTAGCCAGGTCCTCTTTGATATGCTAAATAGGCACCTCAGCTAGCCATTTGTCCCAGGTCTGAGACCTAACAGATGCACAGATATGCACTTTAAAGGTGGCTGCTGTGAAAAAAAAAAAAAAAAAAGGTGGCTGCTGTGGATTCTTCTTTTTATTTACTTTTTGCTTTTTGAGAGAGGGTTTCTCTATACAGCCCTGGCTGTCCTGGAACTCACAATGTAGTCTAGGGTGCTATCTGCCTCTGCTTCCCAAGTGTTGGGTTTAAAGGTGAGTGCCACTGTGACTAGCTGCTGTGAATTCTTATTTCATACTCCAAGATTCACTTGAAAATCTTCAGGGTCATTTAAGGAAGGGGCACACTCAACATCCTAAACACCTTCTCTCAGACTTCAGCTTAGGTATGTGCTAATTCCTAGAATATTCCCAATGCTTGTCCCTCTGCCTGACGTTAAGTAGAAACTTGGTATGCAGGCTAAACAGGTGATGTCATGGGTAATGGGGACTTTTTTTGGGTTCTTTGAGTTTTATGCCAGTTTAGGAAGGAATAGAACCAGGACATTTCCATTTCTATACCCGAGAACTGATAAAGTTTGAAAGAACTCCCCAAACATAACTGTTTTAGCCTGAATTTAAGTATTTTCTATGTCTTGTGGGTTCAAATCTTACCTAAGCCCTTGACATACATGGGCTAGTGGCCAGGCTAGTGGTAGAACATTCAAAACTGATGCCTGAGAACTGGAGGGAGTGGTTAAGGGATACCTGAGTATTTCTCAACATTGAAACTACCTGGTTGGACACCCAACAGGGACCATTAGACCACAAACAAAGAGACAGAGTAGGAACATTCTAGAACAGTCTTTATGTTTTCATAGGGTGACTATGAGACCCTTGCCCCTCCCTGGATGCCGAACTGGCCAACAAGAGGCCCCAGGAACACAGAAGTACAGGAGTAGTTCTGTCCTCGGGCCTGGAGATTCTGTGGTCAGGAAATCACGTGAAGACACTGCCCACTTCTCATTTGTAATACAAGCTAAAGTAGGCCACACGGTTCCGATGCTTCCTAAAGTCCTTGTCTGTGGAGAGCTGCAACAAAAGAAGATTGTCTGGCTCAGTATCCCAGCAGGAATCCTTTACTTCTGATCTTCCTGACTATGTGAGATAGAAATTCTCATATTAACCCTGTGACTCAGGTAAAGTCCAACCCAAGAGTAATTGAGGTGTAATGATTCGTGATAACTGAAAACATACTCTGGTGTTCATCATGCTAGGAATTATTGGCTACTTGGAAATTTTTGAGTAGTTGGTCAGCATTTTGAAGACAAGGATTGTATGTTTAACTATATGTTATCCATAGGTCTTAACACATATATCCATATATTAGACATTTAACAAAATACTTATGGATTTAATAATAAATTCCACTAGGAAAAAAACCATAAATCTAGAATTATTATAGCAAACCTGTACTAAGTATGTATTCTATGTACTGTATTAAATGGCTTTCCATATTATATGTTATTAATCTTTACCACAATACCAGATAAATTGGATTATTAAATTCATTTTAAAGATAAGAAAATTGATACATAGAAAAAGGCCTAAAGGTCACACAGAAAGGCAATGCTGGATTCCTATTTGAAGACAGGTAGTACTTTCCTGTTTTTGCTCTTTCTTAAAATGCTCTCACATTCTCCAGTGGTCTAACACATGGGGTATGTCAGAAAGAACAATACATCAGAAGTTATAGATGTGGATTGCAGCTGCCCAGTCACCTAATCATTACTATTCTCAGCATCTTCTTATGTTATATAGGATATTTTCCCATGTCTACCCTAAGGAATTATCAAGAGCAGTTAATTCCTTATCTAAGGATCAAATAAAATATGATATTTGGCCAGTCATAATTATCTATAAAAAGCTAATGCAGACATATGACTCTCCAAAAAGATTCTAACATTGACATATGCACAAAATATAATAACTTCAGGGGACCATGATCTTGTTAAAGTTCCCTTACAGACTTCTGTTTAAGAACAAATGATAATATAGGATAGTACTGTACAGAATGGTATGCTAACGACCAATCTTATTACCTCAGCTTTTAGAGTTCTTTTCTCTAGACATGGAATCTGACACCAGTCTGGAGATCCAAATTTCATTGGCCAAACAACTTTTGGGGGTGACTTCTTCTCTGGATTGTATGTACCAGGGCTAGAAATAAACATGCAAATATCATGGTTGATGACTGAACATGAGTTCCACCTTTCTTGGGAAAAACAAGACTAAGTTTTCAATGTCAGGCAAGGTGAGTTTCATTTCCCTGTTAGTGTATTTCTAATTAGGCTGCCAGTGTGACAGAGAGCTTCAACAGCCAAGTAGGGTAAAGACAGAATCTAAAAGTATTTTGTGGTGATATTTTATTTGTGTTTTAATCAAGTTTGCCTGGAGATCAGAGGAAATAGCAAGCTATTTTAAGTAAACAAAGAAGTCAGGCAGTGGTAGCACATGCTTTTAATTCTATCACTTAGCAGGCGGGATCTCTGTGTGTTCAAGGCCACACTAGGGAACAGAGCCAAGCATGTTGACACATGCTTTTAATCCCATCCCCAACCATAGAGTTCTGGAGGGCTGTACAGACAGACATAAAGTGACAGAGCTGGCCAGGAACAGGAAGTGGTGTAGCTAGAGAGCAAATCAGATGGCAGAACAGCAAGGCAATAAAGGTGTGGATAGACAGGAAGTAACTCTCATTTGGAAGCTTCTGAGTTGGTGAGGTAAGGTTGGCTGGTGGCTTTCCCTATTTCCCTGATCTTTCTCTAAGGCTTTCACCCCTATATTTGGCTCTGTGTTTTTTATTTAATAAGACCATTTAGATATTTAATCTACAGTATTTCTGTAATTTAGTGTCCTTAGCTGAAAGAGGATCCCAGGAGAGTGACTGATAAGGGACCCACCATGGTGATGGATTAGTACTGCCCACAATTTGACCTTGGTGAAATATATACAGAGACAAACTTTCTGAAATCTAGGGACAAGCAAAGCAGAGTCAGTTACTTTGGTTCTTGACAACAATATTATTTTTGAATTGCCTGTGTTTGTAAAGCTATTATAGATTCTATTGTGAGGAATAGTTTTTAGAGTAGATACAGAATCAAGACTAATTTCCTTAACACAAGCTTGGAAAAGTTTCCTTCGTTCTCTGGTCTTTGGATTTCTCATCAGTTATGGAAAGATTTTTGACTATTTCCACTGCAGGTGCATATACTGAGTGGGTTCATAGGCATCTAGACTAAACCCTATTGGCTTTCAAGGCCTAGATACTCTAACCTGCCCTTCTGTGTTCACATTTCCTCCGTTCTCACTGTACTCCAGCCATGATCATGTCTTCCTTTTCTATCCGATCCAATGTCTTCTCAACTTAAAGTACTTGCACTCGCTGTTCTTTCTGCCTGGGGTGCTGTCTCCACACAATAGATTAAAGCCACTTCGCAGGACTGGCTTAATCTATTCATTCAGATCTCAGATCAAGTGGCACTTGCTGAGTGTTTTCCTTAATAATCTCAGACAAGGTAGCCTCCAGCTTACAACTCTGTCATATCGTCACCCTGTTCTAATGTCTTCATAGGACAACACCAGCTCCCCACATTTACGGTGTGCCCATGGTAGTCTTAGCTCACAGATACTGTCCTGAGGGAGCTGCCACTTGGTTCTCTTCACTCCTGGAAGTGTTACAGTTTGACTAATAAATCCTTATTACTGCTGGCATTTCCTTGAGTTATTAATTCTGATTTCTTTGGTTCTGACTTACTCTCCAAGAGATCAGGACCCCTGTTTGGTGGGTATACTGAATGATCTGTGGAAGATACAAATCCTCCTGACACATTAGTAAATATCTATTGAATTAATAACCTGTTCTACAATGATACAGTACCAGAGACCAGGGAAGTTAGAGGTTAAGTCTTTACAGATTTAGCTGAAAGTTTTGAGGTAATTCCTGCTTTATGTGCTTCTTCCCTATGAAATGGACAGTAAACAGGAGACATACCCAGGATAAGAATTGCCCTGAGCTTCACCCCTAAATCGAGGCATCAAGGCATTAAATGGCGCAAAGCTTTGTTTGGATTTTTCATTCCAAGTACAAACTTTCTGGTACATTCCTGGATATGGTGTCACATCCTGTAATCACAAAAAGACTGGTGTGTTAGAGGCTGATAAAATACCATCTATGTTATCACAAATTATTTAAGATAAAACAGGACAATCATTTAATACTGCTTATAAATCAGCTACAATTCAGTGTGTCAAAGGTGTAGAAATAGGCCTATGTAGGCAAAACCCTAAATATGGATGTGGTTGAGCTATGTAAATATAATATATATACATATATTATGGGTAAAGAATCAAAGCAAGTTGGTACAGTTTACCACTGGGATATTTTTATAGTTAGATTGACAGTCCTAGACTGTCCAGCAGGAAAGTAGAATCTTAGTCAGGGGCTGTAGCTCAGTGGAAGCATATTTGCCTGGTGTAGTCTAGGCTTAGAACTCATCAGAAAAAGGAGAAAGATAAGGATTTTGTTTCTGCTCAAAATTAGACTTGAAATCCAGTCAGACACACACTCATGCACAATGAAAAAGTTGGAATTTGTCCTTTAACTGACAAGATAGTGTGATGTAAATAAACTTAGCGTCTATATTTTAACTTTAGGTTATTAAAGCTCTGTCTGAGGACTATTTCTTCAGTGAACTGTTTTCTCTCTCCCAGGGTTACTTCCTGCTTGCAGTGTTAATGCCTCAACTTTTTATGTTGCCACATGGACCGCTTTACAATCCCAGAACATTACCTTGCTGATTGGCTTAAACCTCACGGCTGTCCTGGCTCCAATAGCATAACCTTTTGTACTGGTCGGGGTATGAGACAGGCTGTATGCTAAACCATTCCACTTCCGGTGGAAGGAAGAGAGGGAAGGGGGGGGAGAAGAAAAATATCAGTAATACAATCATAAAGCAGCCTTCAGAGTGGAGTGAATTTAGAATGTTCCTATGTGAACTTCTTTGCAAGACATTATTATTTTTTCTTGTCTTGATTCTTTTATAGTTAAAACCATAATGTTAAACAACACGAGTGACTTTGCAAAGAAGTCTGGCTGGATAGAGGAATACATTGACTTTCTGTGAATTCCAGTGACTTCCATCTTCAGAGCCCTGTAACAACTGAATTTGTGTTTATGGAAGAGGCAGCCCGAGGGCTGAACTAAGCAGGAAGAAACTGACATCAGCTCAAAGGGATGCTGGAAGTAAAGATGGAGCAGGGATTGCATAAGGACACAGCTTGCGTTTGGTGGGGATGGAAAGGGGTGAACTATGGGCCTTTACACATTGGCTCTACAGCTGGTTGTGGACCAGGGCTCCTTCTCATGTTGGCACCCAGATAAAAAAGGCACGCATAGAGTAATTTTTCTGTCAGAACACTTGTGTATCCTTCCACAGGGCACTGAAGGGAGGTGAATACTCACATCTGCTGCCGTGTAACACCCGGGGCCTGTGTGGGGCGATCCCCTGACAGGGAGAAACGAGTTCCCCAACCAGGTTGGGGGGTGGTAGTGAGGAAAGAGTTTCCTCTTCTGACGTGTCCCAAAGGAGTAATCATCCACCTTCCCTAAAGATCAAGAGGAGAAACTCCAAGTGAACACGAGGGTGGAGGGAAGCATCGGGGCTGGTCCATAGGACAACCCAGCGGCCAACTCTTACGTAAACCTCGCTGTGTAACTCCACGGAGCGAGTGAGCGAGCTGTACTTTCTCCGTGTTCATCTCTCCAGGTCTTCTTACCCTTTTTCTGCTGTCTGTTCCGTAGTCCTCTGCTACTCTTCTCATCTACTTTGCTGAAGCACATCGTGCACTACTAAGGGTTCGCACTGTGTACTACGTTGCCAAGGGAACGGAGCGGCTGAGAGCCAGAGAGGTGGAGCATAAGGCCCTGAGTGCGCATGAGCAGCGGATTGGCCCGCGCGCATCGGTCACTTCACATCTAGGCTCTGAGGATATCTTAAATCATCCTCTGAACTGAGGGTGGAGCCTGCTAGACAACAAATGGAAGGGCTGAGTAGGTGAGAGGGTGGCAAACTTCTTCGGAAACATCCATGAGGAATGCAGTGCTGTAAAGGTAGGGACGTGGGCTTAGGTCTGAACTACTGGCACCAGGGAAGCAGAAAAAACTCAGGAACTGTGTTGACAAGTGAGGAGGATGTGTAGTTGAACAATGTCAGAAGCAGAGGATGCGGGCAAGGTTGAGCTGACAGCTAGGACTCTATCAGGTCCATCTTAGGCACATTGTTGAGAGAGAGAGAGAGAGAGAGGAGAGAGAGGAGAGAGAGGAGAGGAGAGAGGAGAGAGAGGAAAAGAGAGAAACAGACATATGGCCTCCACAAGTACCTACCCCAAGTGATCCTCCAGCAAGGCCCCTCCTGAATTCCTCAGAATAAGAGATGTGTGTGTGTGTGTGTGTGTGTGTGTGTGTGTGTGTGTGTGTGTGTACAGGGGTGAGGAGGTAGAGTGTAGGGGTGGGGGTGGGTAACAGGCTTTCAAAGACTAGTGGTTCTCAGTGGAACAGTAAGAGTGCATTGGCACTGTAGAATTGCTTAATAATTGAAAAAATTCTTTAATTTCTAAGTCTCAGTGTCTTTATATCCCATTGATAAGGTTGCTGAGAATTTTAAAGCAATGGAAACAAAACCATGTGGTGTCGGCTTCCTAGCGGTTGACAGTGTGAAAGGTTTGCATCACTGAAGATCAGAGCCAGCTAGTCTCTGAGTCCTCTAACATGAGGAAAAATCGTTCACCTTTAAACTTGGTCCTGGACAGAAACAAGGACTTGTTTTCGCTGTGTTTTAGACCAGCTTTAGGAGCTGTCCAGGTATGGGAGGTAGCGAAGCACACTGCCTGCTGCCTGCTGCTCTTTGTCTCTTTAAAGATGATCCTGCAGTGTATGTGTGCTTTAGGCTAACACTTTTTCAGAGATAATTTTACAGATTTATTTAGTTCTTAAAGATTCATTTATTTTACTTTATTTTCTTGTGTGTGTGTGTGTGTGTGTGTGTGTGTGTGTGTGCGGGCACATCCAATTATATGCATGTGTGCCACTTGCAAGCAGGTGTCTGTGGAGGCTAGAAGAAGGTGTCAGATCTCCTGGAACTTGTGGGCCCTGGGAACCCAATTTGGGCCCTCTGCAAGAGCAGCAAATTGTTAGCCACTGAGCCATCTCTCCAGCCTAATTTTTCTTTTAAGTGAAAGTTGGCCCCTTAGTGCAGATCTTCATTCCCAGCTACTTAGGAAGCTGAGGCAGGAGGATCACAGGTTCCAGGCCTTCTCTAGCTGCGGACTAAGTTCAGTCTGGGTAACTGAGACCTGCTTCAAACTGGAAAATGTAAAGAGGGCTGGTGATGTTGCTCAGAAGTAGAGAGATTGCCCAGAATGCATGAAGCCCTAGGTTCATTTCCCAAAGCTACAAAATAAGTAAAATGATGCTATTTTGAAAATTTACAAAAGCACACTTAAAATGCTATATTTTTCAATCAACACATACTTTTGACTATTCATGTCTTCATATGCTTTTCAGTGTGTGCGTACATTGTGTGATATTAAAATCAGGTAGAACATCCGTCTCCCCAAACATTTGTCATCTCCGTGTTGAAAACCTTCAAATTCCTGTCTTCTGGCCGGGGAGAGCATTTTTTACCTAAACATTATTGGAGTGACGATCTTGGCCAGCCTGCCAGAATGCCTAAACATCCTGTAGTGCCCTGCAGGATGAACAGTGAATTGTTCTGTATGCTACATAATGTCCAACTGTACATCTACAAACAACAGTTGGGAAAGAGCCAGGAGTGGTGGTGTATTCCTGAGGCCATCCTGAGTTACATGGGCTCCTGCTTCAAATAAAAACTTAACAGTCTGTCTGTCTTTCTGTCGATCTATTATCTAGAATGTGTCTATCATTTATTTATGTATCATCTATGCATGTATCTGTGTAATTATCAATAATGTATGTATGTATGTATGTATGTATGAATCTACCTACCTACCTACCTACCTACCTACCTACCTACCTACCTATCTTTAAACAAGAACTAATGAAGAAAACCCAGAATATGGGAGGTTGTTATAAGGAGCTAAGATTAAAAAAATATATTTGAGACTTTCATACATTCAGACAATAAAATTATATGTCCCCCATTCCCTTTCCAACTTCCCGCATAATCCCACTTCACCTCCTTCCCAACTCTATAACTTTACATTTTTTTTGACAACTCATTAAGTCCAGTTAGTGCTGCCTGTGTGTGTATGGATTGGGGCCATTCATAGGAGCATGGGGAACTACTAGTTGCCATAAGGGAGCTAAACTTAAATAGACTAAAAATTGAGTCTCAAAGTCATAGTATATAATTTACTTAAAGAATTTTATAAAAATATGACTATGGTACTACTAACAATAAGGAAAATATAAATATATATTGGTACTAATTTGATAATTTTCACTTCTATTATTGTTTTAGGAAGTATTAATATATTAAAAAAATTTTGAGTATTTTTTTTTTTGTTTTTTCAAGACAGAGTTTCTCTGTGTAGTCCTGGCTGTCCTGGAACTCTCCCTGTAGACCAGGATGACCTTACACTTAGAGATCTGCCTGCCTCTGCCTCCTAGTGCTGGGATTAAAAGTGTGTGTCACCACACCTGGCTGACATTTTTATTCTTAAGAGAACTAGTTTTAAAACAATATTTTGATTTTAATCCACACAAATAGCATATAGTTATAAGGTACACTATGACACTTCAATACACTTATAGAACATATAATGATCAAATCAGCACTATTAGGGCAGCTTGCTTCTAAGATATTAAAAAAATAAGAAAAAACTTAAAATTTAAATATGTAAGAAAATACTATTATTCTAGTTTATAACACAATGAAAAACATGAAAAGATAACTCAAAACAGAAAAAGCCCAATTTCTTTTATTTTCTTAAGTTTCTATAATGTGACTACATTGCTAAATACTTTGATTTTAAAATAAAAAGAGAAATAAAATTAAATAAAATTGAATGTATAGCTTAGGCTTCAAAGTTAGGTAGTTTATTTTAGAGTTCTGGTCATGTACTAATTTGTAGTATTCCCTGTCTATAATAACTGTTGTTTTTAATTCTTTTCCTATGAACAAATTATTTCCTGGCCAACTTATTATGTCACTTGATATTTTTAAAAAGCAACAAGTTATACTCATATATTAACAATGTGAGATGTCTTACGACATGAATATATATAACATATCCCTAAAGTATGAATAAATAATAATAAAATTAACAGAAAATTAATATGTAGATCATAAAGATCTTATTTCTTTGTTGAGTCTCTGATCTGGCCTTACATGCTTGAAGGTAAAGTCAAATTGAGGTCATACTCCCATCACAAATTTAGGGCAGTTATTCATGAAACAAACCCTTACAGCCATTCATTATTGGTTTTGTTTATATGACAAAGTGTGATGTGGTAGAAAATTTTCTCAAAAGTTCTTGAGATAGCAAATCCATGAGAGCTTTTATCCATATCTGGGGGGTGGGGGGTGAATATATGTGTGGGGAGATATTTGTTATTTTCTTTTACCGGAGGAAAATCTGATAACACAGCACATTGTAGGTAAGTCTGCAAGATTTCAAGAACATAGTCAACACATAGGGAGGTTTTATGCTTTTCATGACTTAATACAAGGTATCGGCCCAGATGAATTTTGAGAGAACAAGATGGACTGAATTCTTTTTGTATAAAAATTATGTTTTTCCAGGAGTCTTTCATCACAGCTTCATTACTTCATTGTTAATATTACTTTATTGACTCTGACTTATCAAGTCCTTGAACACACTGTTTATAGGACACCTTTTAGCCATGCGGTGGTGGTGCACACCTTTAATCCCAGCACTTGGGAGGCAGAACCAGGTGGATCTTTGTGAGTTCGAGGCCAGTCTGGTCTACAGAGCGAGATCCAGGAAAGGTGCAAAGCTACACAGAGAAACCCTGTCTCAAAACAACAACAACAACAAAAACAAACAAACAAACAAAAAAGATACCTTTTAAACCTTCAACCTGTGTTTTAGGAAATATTAATATTTTCAACTTCTCATATTTTTGAGAATTCCATTTGCATCATTAGTGACATGAAACATATCTTGCAAAGTATGTTGAAAGTAGGCAGCTCATTAACACCCAGCACTGGCAGGCTAGTATAGGCAGCCTGTCAATACTCAGCAATACTCAGCACTGGCAGGCTAGTATAGGCAGACTGTCAACATCCAGCACTGGCAGGCTAGTTTCCTTCCTGATAGCTAACTTGTTGATAGTAACAGTACAGGGCAGAAGACAATGGAACACTGTCTTCTAGTGCCCAAAGTAGCAAGACTCAAGGCATTCAAATTCCATAGGAAGATCAACAAAAAGTGCATGGGTGGGTGGTAGTATCAGAAAAGAAAGCCAGAGGCGTGGCAAAGATAGAGGTTATTTTTAGTCAACACAAAAGCCAATGTTCCTAGAACCTGGGTCATTTCCGAATGTGTCTGCATCTACCTCACAACACAGCCTCAGAATATATTACGCAAAAGCTTGATGGAATAAAATACAAAGGAAACCACTCTATGTCCAGAATGGAAGACGTTAAAGCACCACTCCTAGTAATTGACAATATAAACAGACTAAAATCAGGGTGGTAAGATTTGGTTAACACTGCTGTCGCCTTGGAGCTGGGAAGACGGCACTGTGGGTGACAGTGCTTGCTGTGGAAGCGTGGGAACCTGAGGTCAGCACTCGGCACTCACAGTTCAAAGAGGTGGAGTGGCTGCACACATGATTGTAACCCCAGTGGTGTGGGGAGTGGAGGCAGGAGGCTCACTGGGACTTGCTGGTTACTAGCCTTGCTCCAAATTTAGCGAGAGACCTGGTACAAAGTGAATGTGGAAAGTGAGACA